TTCCCTGGTGTGTCTAATTGTCTGATTGTGTTCACCTGTGGCCCTTGTGTTTCTCCTCCCCTGCCCGGCTGTTTCTCGTCTCGTGATGACCCCTCCCTGTATTTAGTCTCTTCCTGTGTTCAGGGTTGGTTCGTCTTTTGTTTGTGACTGAGTTCACCGGTGAGTGTTCTGTTTTGTCCAAGTATTTTTTCGTTATCCTTGAAATAAAGGCATTTTCAGCGCTATCTGCATTTGGGTCCTGCTTGCTTCACCCACCGTAACAAATACAACCTGACGAAAGGGATTGAGAGCGTTATTGAGGTGGGGCCAACTAAGAAACCGACTATTTGAGACTCAGCAAATAAACTATATATTTATTAAAAAAAATCTTTGTAAAACAAACAAGTTTTCTGGCCCATATCTCTTTAAAATATCTAATGTTAGCAACTATTAAAGAAAAAATGGGGACAATTCTGTTTTAATGTAGTTTGACCATTGTAACTGCTGTGCAGACATACTGATAACATAGGGCTTCTAACTAATTACCTTAAATAAACTCACTAATTCATGAAACCAATTCAATACGCATTATTCTTATTCTTATCATTCTATATGAGCGCCGTAACGGTATCTAATTATTTATTTAGTATTCCATAACTTAATACCAGAGATGGTCAAACTAAAGGGGTAGAGACATGGCAGAAATCCTGCAATAAAGGGGGACAGTGAAGGCGATCAAGAAAAGAGAGCGAGCGGCCCGTTGAGGGAGTTTACGGAGCAGATGAAAAGACACAGAAAGACAGAAGCACAATAACAAGTATATTTAGGTGTTTTTTTTGTAAATAACCGACGGTGTCAAGAGGAAGTAAAGTCCCCTGGTTTGTCCCCTCTAACTGCCATGAGAACACTCAAAATCAATATAAGCATAGGCCTATTTAAAAACAGGGACATTTCCGGGGACAGATTGACCCGGGGATTGGCCACCAAAGCCAGGCAGGCATTTGGTGTGATCACCATAGCCATATGAGGCCGGACTCAGAGGGCTTTCCTTTGCTTCCAGCTGTCAGATTGTAAACAAAGTCACGTGACTGGGGGCAGATGACAGCGCTGACAAGGTGTGTTTCCCGCAGCGAGACGCTACAATACTAATTGTGGGCTTAACATGTTGATTCGGCCACAAAAGGAAAAAAAACTCTAGCTCTCTCCAGAGGGGCAGGTCAGCCAAAAAGGGCAAACGGGCTGTTGCCCGGGCAACATTAGCCCGTAGCTGATAAGGATTATAGTTAAACATGTTCAAATCGAATTTTAAAAAGACAAATCTGGGTACATCCACATCTGGTGCCCCGTATGAGGCGCTAATACCCCGTATTGGGAACCACTGGTATATGAAACTCGTCCTCTCCGCTTGCCATGAGTGACAAAATATGATACCTGTCTTAAAATAAATTACGGTTTTATCCGTGTTTATCATTGCAATGTTGACAGAATCGTGGGATGAGTGGTATGTAGTCGATTTATACAAGTGGTCCTGATAGGAACTACAAAAAATGAATTAATCGTGATTCGTGCATCTTTTTTAAGCTGATTAAAAACCATCAGATCTGTATCGTGTGTGTGTGTGTGTGTGTGTGTGTGTGTGTGTGTGTGTGTGTGTGTGTGTGTGTGTGTGTGTGTGTGTGTGGGGGGGTTGTGTGTGTGGGGATTGTGGTGTTGTGTTCAACAAGCTTTTTGCAGTGTAGCTGTAGCCTTGTTGTCCTTTGCAAATGGATCCGATCTAAATTACTACTATGTGTTGTCAGTTGTTAACAATATGAGTGTGTAGAAGAAATACTGTCCTAAAGTGCCTTATTTTTCTGGCAAACAAAACATTTGGATAAGTACTATTTGGGTTGCAAATCACATGCTGTTTTGTACCGGGTACCACCAACGTTTTGGACTGGATCTCCGACTCATGTTGCCATCACCAAAACTAAAAAACAAAGTCGTGTAATTACCCCTGTCCTGTTATCTGAATGTACAAAAATATGAAGCACAGATTCCACACAGCCCCATGGCATTTGTAACAAGCACAAAACGGTGCTTCAGGAAGTAAAATGTGTAAACTTCCAGACACTTGTATTAACTTCAACATCTTAAAGTCGTCTATAAAGTGAAGAATGCCACCTGGGCTGACTGAGGTGAATTGGATCGGCGCTGATAGCATCACATCGCTGATGGACGACGACGCGAATTGGCCAGTGCTCCCTAAAGCTTTTTATCTTGTGATTAACAATAGAGACGGAAACTAGAAAAACAGCCGAAAGGGGGGTTGGGGGGGGGGTTCAGATCTACAGCTTTCATCAATGACACATTTGATGCTCATGAAGGCTGTGGGAATACGGCCAAAAACACGATGAGATGTACACACAGATTTGTCATTATGTGAGAATTGTAGCAACTTCCACGGTTTTGTACAAATTAAAGCTTTCACACCTCGCTTTATCTTTATTTCCCTGACACCTCCAGCAGCTATTTGAAACCACTGAGCCGTCTGTTCGACTGATAGCTCGCTCTCCATCTGCTAAGCTTTCCCAGAGCTGAAGGAAAGCAGCTAATGACTCTGCAGGCAGCGACAGAGCTTATGACCTCTCATTGAAGTGTCCGTCTTTGAATTGACAGCCATGTATTTTATGTCACTTCTCTGCAGTTTCAAATCAAATCAAGTTTTATTTATATAGAACATTTATAAACGATTTTTGGTCGAGCCAAAGTGCTGTACATAAAATAAAAATAGCCTAAAGTAGAGACACTTTACAGCAAATACAACAGCACAGATTGTTCAGAATATCAGTACCCTCTGTCCTTAGACCCTCTGTCCTTAGACCCTCTGTCCTTAGACCCTCACATCGTACAAGGAAAAACTTCCAGAGAAAACCCACAGTTTAAAGGGGACATGGGAGAAACCTCAGGGAGAGCAACAGAGGAGGGATCCCTCTCCCAGGACGGACAGACGTGCAATAGATGCCGTGTGTAAATCCAAGAGATAATACATTTTACAGCATATAGACCGAATGTTAGGAAATGCATGTGTCTGTAATAAGAAGATGAATCCACGAGGATGTCAGCTACAATCCTGTGGAAGCCATCAGGGAAGCAGCAGGACGAGACCCAAGGCAGGACCGCAGAGACAGGTTCAGCCACGACCCGAAGTCCACGACTTAATCCAGAACTCAGGATAGCCCCAGGTTTCAACCCAAAGAAGACAGGCAACAGATTGTTGTGTATCAGCAGGGGGTCTTAGTGCTTTTCATGAAGAAACTCAAAATACATTCTTGGTTTTACTGTGATAAAACTACCGTACTGGACAAGGTGGGGCGAGACAACGCAGGAAAATATAGTTTGTTCTATCACAGGTCATTTTTTAGATTCTGAGCACGAGCAAGAACATATCCAAAATACATATTGAGCCTTTTCTTTGACAAACTCTGTCTATTTTTTACTGTAAATATTCCCCAAATCCACTAATAACGTTTTAAATACAATTTTTTTTAACATAACATTTTAGAAAACATGTATAAGCCAACTTTTTAAAATTTCATTTAGTCACTCATCAGGAGTTTAAAGAGTAGAAATACAATTTTGCAAGAGTAATGTTCAATTAATGCAGGAGAAGTTAACTTTACGCAAAAAAGAAGAAATAATGAGATGAGCCAAAAATAGAATATCAAATAAAATGCTTTAGAGTGACATAAAATACTGCTTATTTATTGTTTTAAGATAAGATATACTTTATTGATCCTGAATTGGGAAATGTTTTCGTTACAGCAGCATGTTAAAACAAGGCATTGCATACAATGTGAAAATAGAATGGAGTACGAAATAAACAGACATAAACATCTCAAAATAGAAAATAAAAACAGAAATGTAAAGTGGACCTATCATGCTATATTTGAAATATATATTGTAGGGCCATACCTATAGAAAACATGTCTGTGAAGTTTTTTCAAAATACCAAACAGATCATGCATTTTAGCCATGCCTCATTTCGCTCTATTTGCTCTTTTCCAGCCCTGTTTTTGCAACGGCTGATTCTGTGACGTAGCTTTAATGCAAATGAACTGCAGCTGGCCACGCCCCCCTGCAGGAGAGGGGAGCGTGCTCTGATCAGCTGCTGGGCTGTCAGAAGAGGGGGAGGAAAAGAGAGGCTCTGTGTTTTATTCTTATATGATTATATAGAGTCGTTATTCATTTGTTTTAAAGCTCAATAAATAATAAAGAAGACCTTTGACCGGCACTTTTCTAATTTTGTCCGAAAGATTTAAACTTGTTGACCGGCGAAAAAAAATCGAATTGAAACTCTGCTGCACGGTCCCCTCGTTCCTTGGAAGAGGCGGAGAGGTGGGTGTTTGTCATCTGCTGGTGGACTAACCGGAGAGAATTACAGCGAGGGAGGGATTGCATTGAATTAACGTAACATAGCAGCAAACGCTTGCCTCGGGGAGGGGGGAGAAAAAGAGCCAGAGCGGAGAATAAACAGAAGGGCAACCATGCGCGGGAAGTCTTCTTCGCTGCTTTTGTGGCAGACTACAGCACCACTTACAGGCCTGGCATATGTACTACAGCGTCTCCAGTGCTTTCGAGTGGCAATGGCCGTGGCCTAACCCCCTATTCCCCTGATAGGTGGAGAGTTGCCCATATAGGCGGAGCTCCTTGTTTCTGACGTCAGAGATATTTCAAATCTGGACCAGTTTTGATCAGATCCGTTACAGCCCCGTTTTTAGAGATTTGGGTATGGAGGAAAAGAGAGAGGGTTGTGTTTTCTGACACTTGGTGAGTTCCCTGACACACCGGGGACACATATTCATGTATAAAAGACGTACAAAAGTGCATTTTGCATGATAGGTCCCCTTTAAAGTAAAATATATACATAATGACAGTGGAAGAAATATATCTGAAGACTAAATGGTGAAGGGCCAAATTCGATTGCAAGGAATGGCATATTAAGGTTGTTACTGATGTTCTTCTGTCTCCTCTCCCCTCAGATATCTGGGCATCACGCGGCCTCTCACCTACCCGGCGCGGCAGAACGGTCAGCTGATGGCGAAGATGATCCTGGGCGTGTGGCTGGCGTCGGCCTCCATCACGCTGCCACCTTTCTGCGGCTGGGCCAAAAACGTGCACACAGCCGGCGTGTGCCTCATCAGCCAAGACTTCGGCTACACCATCTACTCCACAGCCGTTGCTTTCTACATCCCCATGTTGGTCATGCTGGTCATGTACTACAAGATCTTCAAGGCGGCGCGTAAAAGTGGCGCCAAACATCGCTTCACTGACATTTCTCGCCGCGAGCGTCTCAGCACGGTGGCTAACGAGGCGTTGAGGATGCACGGAATGAAGCCTGGAGGCGTGGCGGAGGAATGTGCCGCCATTTCCCGCCTTTTGAACCGCGAGCGAAGAAACATCTCCATCTTTAAGCGAGAGCAGAAAGCAGCGACCACGTTGGGGGTAATCGTCGGGGTTTTCGGCGTTTGCTGGCTGCCGTTCTTCATCCTTTCCACCGCCAGGCCGTTTATTTGTGGCGTTGAGTGTAGCTGCGTTCCAATTTGGTTGGAGCGAACGCTGCTCTGGTTGGGATACGCAAACTCCCTAATGAACCCTTTTATCTACGCCTTCTTCAACAGAGACCTGCGCTCCACTTACCGTGACCTTCTCCGCTGTCGCTATCGAAACATCAACCGCAGACTGTCCGCTGTGGGCGTCCACGAAGCTCTCAAGGTTTAAAAAGCTGAGGTTTGACTGTCAAAAAAAAAAAAGGGTGGTTTGGAGGCCTTGTGATTGTACACCTGGTGCTTAAAGGGGGATGTTGAACACAGCGTGAAGATAAGACTGACAGTAGAGGAGTTGCTGTATGTGGCTTTCTGGTCTCTCTGCAAATCACATCCCTCTGTGTGTGTGTGTGTGTGTGTGTGTGTGTGTGTGTGTGTGTGTGTGTGTGTGTGTGTGTGTGTGTGTGTGTGTGTGTGTGTGTGTGTGTGTGTCCCAGTCTTTCTATTTTTGGAAAGAAAATCATGGAGTGCACTTGATGGGCTATTCATGTCGACAGCGCTTTTGTGCATATGCCACCAATCCTGGATTAATGGAAGGGTAATGAAGGGACAAAGGAAGTGACATGTAAACACAATTAATCAAGGCAACAGAAGTAAACAGATCTGTGTACATTAGGGAAATTGATGTTTGATAATAATAATAATAATAATAATGCATTACATTTTTTATTAGAGCGCTTTTACAGGTGCTCAAAGCGCTTTACAAGTACACATTACACATATTAGACATGTAAGAGTCATTACTGCGGACATTACCTACAGGAGCAAATGCGGGTAAAGGAAAAACATTTGTTTATGTGGCACAGCTTCTTCATCAAAACACCCATTAGAGACATCACAGATTCATTTCAGACAGAGTCAACTCTTTGAGCTCTTTTGTGCTTTGTGCCATGATTACATTTACATTTATATCACTTTGACTCCAGCTATACTTTTCCATTTGGTCCTCTCACTAAATTTAACAGGAGCACTTTGATTGTTTCACAAAACATGTGGTGATGCCAAGCGAGAGGAGGTGGGTGGACAACATGGTGTCAAATGCAGAATGAAGGGGAACATTTTCCATTCATTAAACCTCAGTATTTGTTGCTATGAAAATAAACTGAACGTCGTTTGTTTAGTGTCTGCATGAAACACATTTTTACCTACAAGTACGGTGGCCCACAAGTGCAAACGCGCTTCAACGGCCTAAAACATTTCCATTAAGAGAAACGCACAGGAGTTTAAAAAACGAAGCAAATACAAGAACACAAATGCACGAAAACACATGCAAACATGCGCAGCGTTTAGATAACATTTGGCAACTTGAGGAAACATGAGCAGCGTTTACTAAAAGTGCAGCAAGAAGCTCAAAACACAACGGAAACGGGGACACTAAGAAGTGACGCACACAGCTGGGACCGGAGCGTTCAGGAATATAAAGTTGGACAAACTGTCTGTGTTGGCAAAGATAGTCCGTTTCATATTTGTAAGTGTTTTGTCAGTATATTTGAAATGACTAGGTTAGCTACGTAAGCTTAAAGCAGATCCGCTATAATATTTGAGGGAGTTTTGTGATCACATTGTTAAAGAAAGGCGTTACATTTTAGGTACGTTTCGAACAACAGAGACAGGTTGGCATAGCCGCGGGAAGTCATTTTACTTAGGGGGTGCGGCCAAAAGTGGGGAGAGATTTCAACAGTAACATGAACATAATAGTTACCGGCAAAAAAGCCCTATCAATAATGACAAACCACATTGACAGTGACATTTCAATTTGTGCTCAAAATGTCCATATTTATAAAGAATGTACACCATTCACCAACAGGGGGTGCTGCAGCACCTCGAGCACCCCTACTTCCCGCGACTATGCAGTTTGGCTAACTTTATAATCCCCTAACGTCAACAAGCTGTGTGCGTCACTTTTTATTGTCCCCCCCGTTTCCGTTGTGTTTTGAGTTTCTTGCAGCATTTCGATTATGCAGCCTCTTAGTAATTGTGCAATTTTTGTGAGTCGGTGAAGATGTTTTATTCATCTGTGTTTCGCCACATTTGTGTTTTGATATTTGCATCGTTTTTGAAACTGTTGCTCCTATTGGAAATATCTTTGACCTTTGCATTTGCACCTGTCGGACACCGTACACATGCCACTGTAAAAATAAACCATAAGAGATTATTTATAGCAGATTACAGTGTTTATCACACACATCCAAATGAACTCAATACAATATGTGTCAGATACTGTGGACATTTTTCACTGTCGTTATTTTGCCTTTTATTTTTTACTCAACATTTGGCTGCTGACCTTATTGGTTTTACGCAGCTCAACTAAAGCTGATGAACTCTGCAGTTTCACTTTAAGAATACAAACGTTCTTGAATCATTCATGAACTTTTGTCGTCAAATGTCACCATTCGAAGCAGTGCGTGCTTTTTCTACCTCGATTTTGAGATTTCCTCCGAACAGATGTACCGCTGTCTTGCATCATTTTGTAATTAATTGCTATTTTATATATGGTGTAAAATCAATCTGTGTACAACTGCTCTGTGATTGCTCTCTGTGTGAACGCTTTGTCTTTTCAGAAACAAGCTGGGGAAGTGGCAAAGCATTTCATCACTTTGTAAATAAAGAAACACTTGGTTTAAACGTCACTGTGGCCTATATTGGTAACCTCAGATTATATGAACGAACGCACATGTTTCTCGAGTTTCTATCAAAAGATCCTTAATTTCTCATTTTCATAGGAGACAATTCACACAAGGCTCCTCGCTTTCTAGCCCCTACACAATTCATAATCCTCACCTCCTAGACCAGGGGTGTCAAACTCAAGGCCCGGGGGCCAAATCCGGCCCACAACTTCATTTTATGTGGCCCCGCAAGAGCTTGCAAAGATTATAATACGTTTATTATACGGTTACATACCACTTTACAGAAGCAGGTTGCCCATAAACTACATGTCCCACAATGCATCTCGTTTTGTGACATGCGCACTGAAGAGACTTGCAATTATTTGCCCTAGACTTCTGCTTTCAGATGTAGTTAATTACGAAGTTATTACCCTATCCAATAATAATCCAATTCAGAGGCAATAATGTAATATAATACATTATTTTATATATATTATATATTATTTATATATGTATATTTATATAGTTACAACCGGCCCTTTGAGTGCAACCATAATGCTAATGTGGCCCGCGATGAAATTGAGTTTGACACCGCTGTCCTAGACGGATAGGTCAAGCGATATAGAGACGCTACCTTTAAGGTCCACTCGAAGCCTTTAAAAATTCATCCTTTTCCCTAGAGTATTACCACCGAGGCCTTCATGCTGCTGTAAGGACTCCTTTATTTCCCGTCTGCTTGCAGCAAAATCTTTTATTCAGAGTCTGGATGACAGCTGTCTGCTTGTTTTTGATAACTGAAATTGTCCCGTGGAGGACGAGGTAGAGTCTGACGTGTGTGGTGTGTTCAGATATACTCATACCTAATACTTTACACTTCTAGTAGTCATGTGTAGGAGTGTTAATGTATCCAAACAACTCAATATAGATTTTTCAGGCTGTGTTTGTGCAGAGACACCTAACGGTGTGTCCACACAGCAGCTTTGACCAAATCTTGAAAATCCTGGAGCTGGGCGTGTCTGATAGCTTGGGGATTTCGCGACCAACAACCAATCACATGAATATTACATGAATATCCCGCCCCCGACATACAAAGCAAAAAAACCCGGTTCTTCTACACTATTGTCAAATAGGAAGGGCTATGATGAACATTTATTTTTTTAACATTTTGAACATTTATGAGATTAATGTTTATGGTGCTATTTTATGCTACATTCCATGCTGGCTAATGATACTGTCTATGCTTGCTAGCAACGAAGTAAACTAGCAACGAAGTAAACTGGATATAAAATCCCCAAACAAGCGAAAACCTACCAGTTTCACCCACTGCCTCTGCCACCTCCCTCCATGCCTGGTTCCTCCGGTTTGTATCCCGGTAAGTAAATAGGGACTGGTCATAAAGAACCGGGTGATTTGCTACCGCAATAACTAACTTCTCCTCCATTTTTGTTAGGAATATAGAATGAACTGCGGGTCTGGTTCTCCCAGCTTGCACGCGGTTTGATTGGCTAGCGCTTGAACTGTCAGATTTGCATAAACGGATCTGATTGGCTGTCGCTTCCAGCTCAGCCTCAAAAGTTGAACATTGTTCAACATTGGAATCCTGAACATCCTGGAAATCCTGGAAATCTTCGCCTCGCCCCCCCACAATGCAGTTCGGCGACAAGCGAGGGAAAGTGACGTCATCCCCATTCAAAGTCAATGGGCGGAGATGCGCTGGAAGCGGTGGACAAATCGCTAAAAGCTGCTGTGTGTACGGGCCGTAAGACTAAATCTAATGCCACGCTAGCTCTAAGAGGTTGTATTTAAGCACAGCAGACAGGCTTTTTTAATTGAAAGTGGCCCTAATAAGCAATTGTTCAGGTGTATATCAGTATGTAGTGTCTCTACTTTAAAGAGTCCTCTCCTGCTGATGTTCAGGTGTATATCAGTTTGTAGTGTCTCTACTTTAAAGAGTCCTCTCCTGCTGATGTTCAGGTGTATATCAGTATGTAGTGTCTCTACTTTAAAGAGTCCTCTCCTGCTGATGTTCAGGTGTATATCAGTATGTAGTGTCTCTACTTTAAAGAGTCCTCTCCTGCTGATGTTCAGGTGTATCTGGACCCGGTGACGACATTACCTATTGACGCAGCAACCACTGTAAGTTATATTCTTGTTTAATTAGACTTCTCTGTTTCATTTATTCGACTCTGTATAAATTGCTATTGTAGCTTAAACGGCTAAATCGCTTTTGAGAGATTTTAAATCTCAGATCTGCTCAGGCGAAACCTGCTTCACAGGTCTCAGCACTCAAGCCTGCATTAATATAGGCAGGGCCAGTCTATTGTCGCCCATCAGCTGTAGATAGTTAACTAATTAGAGGGGCGTGGCCCTACAGCTGTGAGAACTGAGCAATCAGGCGTCCATTTTTGGGTAGCTCTTTCCTGGAGCGTCAGCTTCAGCGTCAGACAGCCGAAGACTGACAAAGACATTGGAGTCCTATGGGAGTAAGACTGACAAAGACATTGGAGTCCTACGGGAGTCACGAGGGAGGCAAAGAGGAGGCAAATCCTACTCTGATTGAGCTGGTGTCTTATTTCTCTTTTCTTTAGTTTTCTAGCCCCTCATGCTATAATCATGTGTATTTTCTCCATTCCTGTTCATGTGTCTTCTCGCAATTATCACTGGCCCCGTGTATCTCCTAATCGATATAACCGGCCTGCTCTCGTCTATCCCACGTGCTCCACTGAGATCCAACATCTAGTTTCTGGTGGCCTGTGGAATTGCCAGTCAGCTGTTCCAAAGGCTGACTTCATCTCTGGCTACGCCTCCCTGCAGTCTCTGGATTTCCTTGCTCTCACTGAGACCTGGATTACTCCATCCAACACATCCACCCCAGCAGCTCTCCATCCATCCATCCATCCATCTTCTCCCGCTTATCCGTGGTCGGGTCGCGGGGGTAGCAGTTCCAGCAGAGAGCCCCAAACTTTCTTTTCCCTGGCGACATCAACCAGCTCTGACTGGGGGATCCCAAGGCGCTCCCAGGCCAGCGAAGAGATATAATCCCTCCACCTGGTCCTAGGTCTACCCCTTGGTCTCTTCCCAGCTGGACCCCCCAGCAGCTCTCTCCACTGCATATTCCTTCTCCCATACACCCAGACCCACTGGCAGAGGAGGTGGCACTGGTCTCCTGCTCTCTCCCAAATGGAGATTTTCCCTCTTCAAGCTACCTAACTTCACTCCTTCCACCTTTGAATTCCATGCCGTCACAGTCACCCATCCTATACAGTTAACCATTGTTGTTCTCTACCGTCCACCAGGCGCCTTGGGGGACTTCTTGGAGGAATTAGATCATCTCCTCTCACACATCCCTGAAACTGGCCCTCCCGCTGTACTTCTCGGAGACTTCAACCTCCAGACGGGGAAGATAGACGAACTAACATCTCTGTTAACCGCCTTTGCTTTCTCACTGTCTCCTTCCCCACCAACTCATAAAGCTGGCAATGTCCTTGATCTCATATTCTCAAGGAACTGCGCTACTTCTAACCTCTCTGTAAACCCGCTCCACACATCCGATCACTTCTTCATTTCATTCTCTCTACCCCTTCCCAAACATAACAAACAAATCTCTTCTCATCCTGCACTTGTCCGCCGTAACCTTCGCTCCCTCTCCCCCTCTACCTTTGCCTCGTCGGTTCTCTCAGCCCTCCCTTCTTCTGACTCGTTCCAACTCCTGCCACCAAACTCTGCTGCAGAAACTCTCCTCTCTACTCTCTCATCCTCTCTGGACTCTCTCTGTCCTCTCACATCTCGGCAGGCTCGTCAGTCCCCTCCTGCTCCCTGGCTAAATGATGCACTGCGTGCTAATAGAACCGTCCTTAGGGCAGCAGAGCGGAAATGGTGGAAATCCAAACACCGTGACGACCTCCTAACCTATCAGGCTCTCCTCTCCTCTTTCTCTGCTTCGATCTCTCAGGCAAAAAGCACTTTCTTTCAAGATAAGATCCAATCTTCCTATTCCAATCCTAAAAAACTATTTTCCATCTTCTCCACCCTCTTGGACCCTCCAAAAGCCCCTCCCCCCTCCTCACTTCTGTCAAGCGACTTTGTTAACCACTTTGAAAAAAAGGTTGATGATATTCGCTCTTCTTTTTCTGACTCACCTATACTCACCGCTGGGTCACCAGACCCTCCTTCCACCAACCCACTAACCTCCTTTTCCCTTCTCTCTCCAAGTGAGGTTCTTACCCTCATTACTTCTGCCCGCCCTACCACCTGTCCTCTGGACCCTATCCCTTCAAACCTCCTTCAGACTATCGCTCCTGATATTCTACCGTTTCTCACCCATTTCATCAACACTTCTCTAACTTCTGGTCACTTTCCAAACAGTCTCAAGGAGGCAAGAGTAAACCCTCTCCTAAAGAAACCCACTCTCAACCCGTCTGATGTTATAAACTACAGGCCTGTATCTCTCCTCCCGTTCCTGTCTAAATCACTTGAACGCGCTGTCTTTAAACAACTCTACTGTTATCTCCATCAGAACAACCTTCTGGATCCGCACCAGTCTGGTTTCAAGGCAGGTCACTCCACAGAAACTGCTCTCATTGCTGTCACGGAATAACTGCACACTGCCAAAACTGCATCCCTCTCCTCTGTCATCATCCTGTTGGACCTGTCTGCAGCATTCGACACGGTGAATCATCAGATCCTCCTTCGCACTTTCCAAAAACATGGAGTTTCAGGCTCTGCTCTTTCCCTCCTCACCTCATACCTGAAAGACCATACCTACAGGGTGACTTGGAGAGGGTCTGAGTCCGACCCTTGTCAATTAACTACAGGGGTCCCTCAGGGCTCTGTTCTTGGTCCCCTCCTCTTCTCCCTGTACACAAACTCGCTCGGATCAGTCATTAGCCCGCATGGTTTTTCTTACCACTGCTACGCTGATGACACCCAATTAATTCTGTCCTTTCCCCGCTCAGAGACCCAGGTCGTTGCATGCATCTCTGCTTGTCTAGCTGACATCTCTCAGTGGATATCTGCTCATCACC